TCCAATCCAGGATGGCGGCCTCAGCTCTCTCACTGAGAGCTACGCCGATGCCACCAAGACCAGAAACCGCAGCCTCAGGATCTCCAGAGGCCTAAGTGAAACTTCATAGATTGGTTAGATGGGGACATCAATCGGCTAATGGAGCTGGAGTCTTGAATGCGAGTTTCTTGGATGCAACACACATCGATGGCTAGGGTTTCGAGGATACGCATCAGAGTACGCACATTAAACGTGGCTAGTTTGAAAGAACATCGAGGGCGGAGAAGGGCTTCACGTGGTGGATGATTCGGTGAGACTTGGACGGTAGTCGAGGTAGGACAAGAGCGAACAGCTATGGAATTTCCGCCCGAGGCACTACTGTTGATAAGATCGTCTGAATTATCCGAGAGAGATGGAATAGAGTTGGGGGGGGGCTAGGAGAACGAAAGGGTGTGTATGGTTTAGAAAGTATTTCGATTGTTGAAGGTTTAGAGTGCGAAATCATGAGAGCGAGAACGTTCATAGTTGTCTGCGTTGTGAGCTATGATACTACTCTGTCGCCCAGTACAGAGTAGGCCTTGTGCGAGGACGCACTCTAGCCTTTGCGCAACCAAGCGCGGACTGCAAGGCAGCAGTGATGTTCTAGATGAGCCGGTGGTCGGTTTTCGGTTCATTCGCCTCTTCTAGAAAACCTTCGACTCACTCGAATGTGTATCTATTCGTTACATCAATAATGGAAATCCATAACTTTACCAGTGTTATAATGCCACAAGACGATGCCGGGATCAGGCAAGTTTCTTAGTACGTTGAACAGTAAGGGTATCGGCAAATTGATATACATAAACCGACATGCCTCGTTTGAAACAAGTCTTCAGAATTATCACAAACACAGGACAACTACGGAAACGGTCCGACAGTAGATGCGCATCGCCCGTAGGCACAAAAGTCAATCCTCCAATCCATTCAGGATTTCGGTGGGAATCCAATAGACCCTTCTTGGTGCGTGTATACTACTACTCATATGTGAGAGTAGCACAGCACGACACTAGTAGATATGATTTTTTCCGTGTTTGGGTCCAACCTGATAGAATTTAGATACCAATAATTGTTTCCTGGACGAAAATTAGGATATTTTTTGAGTACGAACAATGAGTATTTGTTTTTCTCTCAAACATGCACCGGAATCGTTTATGTCATCATCGGTGGTAAGGATTTCACATACATCGATGCAAAATGGTCTCCTTTCTAAGTATTTAACTAAGTGAGAAACTGCCATCTGCTCCGGGCTTTAGGGTTCGAGGTTCGGGGCCTGACACGGAATTCCACTTTCGGTGGTTCTCGGTTTTACTGTTATCCGCTCAATACTATCGCTATGTTGTTAGGACCTCGTGTAAGTTCAAGGTTTTGGTTGTAGTTTCTCATAACTAAATGGCGTTCGTGACTATGGGCTTCGTCTATTCCACTCTTCCTTAGACTAAAGTGCACATTAAATAAGCATGAAAACTTATACTACTCTGATACTTCTCACTAATACCCATGTTATTTTCTCACTTACATTCAAGGCGTATCCAGAACTGCCCACCATTGAGAGCCCCTTATGTGGCCCCGATCCAAACAATCCATATCATGGCTTCCGTTCCCGTGTCTGAGATACGCCAAGTTTCCGTCCTCAACCCACGTCCGGATCCCACAGGCAAGTACACGATCTATACCGTACGTGTCCAGATTCAACCAGTAGCAATTGATCAAGACGAGACAATCACCGAATTTTTCACCCGATTTCGTGAGTGCAAGAAATTGGAGCGTTGTTTGGGTCAGTATTATCGGGATCTCTTCCGCCCGGAACCGTTCCCGACCCTTCCCATCCCGGAATATCGCACACGTTTCGATGCGTCAGTGATTGAAGAACGGCGTCAGGCGATTGAGCGCATGCTTCAGTTCATCAACGATCGACCATACTTACACACACATGCTTCCTATGTGCTATTCACCGGTGCATTGGCCGATATTTCCTATGCCAAGAAAACATCCGATTAGGAATCCCCGTCGAGCAGTCTTTTTCTTATCAGAAAGATTTTGTAAATTGGGAACGTACTGCTGAGTCTTTCAAATCCCAAGTTACTTTCTCTGATTATGAAATATGTACGCAACAGATTTTGCTGCTGCTACTTCTTTCGTTTTTCTTAGATGGATAAATAAATATAAAATGATGCATATTTTCAATCGGATTCCTGCACTCGTGCTTTTCTTTTTAGGTTGCAATGATCGAGATGTATTGTATGGAAGGATCCTTTGGCACAATAGCTCTGAAGCAAGTATGGAGTAGTCTACCGGTCTATAACCTATTGTATATGCACCCTGGTAGTTGAATTGGTGGTTTTGGGTTATGCAATGTTTCATTATTTAGGTTCGAAAAACCCAATTGCTTAGTAACTGGTAATGTTAGTTGCTATGCGATTCATTTTGTTCTGTTCAACTCGCTTACCATGGTCTCGTCATCTTCATTGATAGCGTTCTTTTTCTGCTTATTGCTCGGTTTCCCCCCATCCGTCCATGTTTCTCAATTTCGTTCGGCTTCTATCCGACAACTCCATTTGTTTCTGTCCCAACGGGAGTATCACAGATCCACCTGGAAAAACAGTTTTACCGTGGACACCGTTCGTGTTCACATGAATTGAAGCGACGTGTGTGCGCGCTTTTCCACGTGTGCTTTTCACCTAAGAACTATCCTGCTCGAACGGGTATTTTTCGTACTCTGCCTACGATTCATGTTGTTATTTCGCGAATTAAAAAGGGGCGATCCACCGGTACTCTCCCAGTAAACTTATACTGCACTGAAGAGGCATGCTAGCTTTATTTCAATGCTTTCTTTTGCCCCATGAAAACGTGTTACTTTTTCGCATTTCATCAGCTATCCTCGGGGCCTGAAATGTGCGTCCAATCTGTTCTTTCTTCTGCGTTCATTTCACGAATGATTAATAGAAAGATAGCCTCATTGTTGTTGTTTACAAATCGAATTGTTGTAAAAGCATTTGTTGGTGGTTACACCTCGAACAAAGAAACCAGGGAGGATCCATACATTTTTCTGAATCAACATAAAAAAGATAAACCAAACGGTTATTATGTGCGGCATCAGCGAAAAAATGGGAAGATTGCTGAACGGGTTTTTACATCTCAGTATCGAGTTACGGTTAACTACCATGAACAGTTGGCATTCATCTCCATACGCATCTATGGCTGAAGGACGGTGATGATGTGTGGGTTACCCGCAACCCAGAGTATATCTCTTTGCGTATTCCTTAAGACCCTATCATCTAGAAATGGATATCAATATCAAGGCAGTCTACGAACCAATAGGGGATCAACTAAAGTTCCGATGACGACGAAAACCAAAAAACTAGCATTCTGACATTTTGTTGAACGCCACGCCGTTAGATATCTTAATGTCCATCAACCCATCCGGTGTGAACAATAGCCTGACTTTGACGCGAGTCGGTTGGATCATTCCGTCGCGATGCGACACCCATTATGATTAGATAAACACTAGAAGAGGAAGCACCAATGAACGTTCCGAGGACATTATTTTCTTGACGTATAATAAAATGTTTGAGAGCCTAAGCAGTGAGCGACCCAACAGAACCATGAACGCATTCTGCATAAGCAGTAAAATGCAAGGTGATACAGGTCAATTTCACCGAGATGACCAAAGGGGGAAATAGAAGTCGATAGCAAATTCCTATCCCTTTTCGCTTCCATATCGTCAACCTTTTTGTCAGCCTGTGTGCCCTTTCTTCGCGTAACTGATTTAAATTGGTGAATGAAGGGAGCCAAAGGACTACTTTTAATTGGTGGTGGTGCTGTTTTCAGAGGACTAAGGAATACTGCTGTTTAGTCACTCACGAATCTTGGCAATTAGGCTGCAAGCATTTATCTTCCGTTGAGGCAAGATTTCCATCAGTATTAAAATTACCCAATCATCCCGTATTCACGAAATGCTTACAATTTAAATTTTCACCTAAAATGTAAGCCTTTAAGCTGACAAGTTATACAAATAAAAGTAGGAAAAAGTGATAACTTTTTTCAGAAATGCACTTTATTTTATCTAAAAAGTGATCTGTGTGGCAAGTTAGGGGTTTAATTCTGTGCTTTGGAATTCATTTGTCCTCCAATCCCTAAAGGAGTGAAATCACTCAG